ATAAAAGCAGTCTCTTTTTAGAAGACAGTATACATTCCCAGTCAGTGGATAATTAATTAATCACAAGAATAATATTTAAAGAAACAGAGAAGGTGAAGAGACTGAAAGCTTCCCAGAGAGATTGCATTGAAGGCACTTAATGCAAACACTCTCAAGAACCCCTTATAGATTCAATCAGTGATGGCACAAGATGCTTAAGAAACTCACCTTTTCTATAAGCTCGATGCAGGCAGCCAGGTCCATGCCAAAGTCAATGAACTCCCATTCGATTCCCTCCTTCTTGTACTCCTCCTGCTCCAGCACGAACATGTGGTGGTTGAAGAACTGTTGCAGTTTCTCATTGGTGAAGTTGATGCAYAGCTGCTCAAAGCTGTTAAACTAATATTTGAGTGTGTTAATAGTGTTAAACTGCCTCTAATCAGTTGTTTTTACAGACATCTCATGGCAAGGTCAGTCAGACTGTCCCAGAAGGGTTTTGATGACAGAGTGAAGAATATACCATGGATGTCCAGGCTTACAGAAAAATTGTGCAGTGCAGCACACAGTTGCTGCAGCCTGCATTGGCCATGTTTTGGGTGGCCCTAATGTCACTAAATACAGATTCTCTGAGAAGAGACATAGCAGGTTCATGGCTATGCTTTTGCCATGTCTCTTCTCTGACAAAGTGGGTGATGGATCTACAAAGGAAGAAGGAGCTTCAAACAGATTTGCTCTGCTCTTGAGGGCTGCACTGGGGTGAGGAGGAAAAGTCAGAGAAGTGAAACAAAATGAAAAAAACATTTAGAGACAGGCAGAAGTGTGAGAATACTGTGTAAAAGCAAACCTCAAAAATCTCAAAGCCAGCAATGTCTAAGACCCCAATGAAGTGTTGTCGTGGCAGCTTCGTGTCCAGCTGTTGGTTGATGCGMATCACCATCCACAGGAAGAGCTTTTCATAGACAGACTTGGCAATGGCACTCACTGCCTGCTGCACCTGCAGGGAGAGGGCCCACACTGTGTCAGGGCACCCCAAAATGAAACACCCTCTCCATGCCACACAGCCCTCTCAGTGCACTGACAGGCCTCAGTGGTCCTGACTGCTCTCAGCTGTGACCTGCTCCTGTTCTTTCAGGAGAGGATGGTCCCTGCTGCTCCCTGACACTCACCTGATCTACTGTTTGGCCCTTCATGACATAATCATTTCCCACTTTCACCCGGGGATAGCACAGAGCTTTCAGCAAGTCTGCTGAGTTCAGGCCCATCAGATATGCTGCTTTGTCAGCCTCTGCAAAACAAAATGATAACTTGAAATACTTTCTTAGTTTGGACATGCAGAGGGCATTGGAACCAGCCAGAGTTTTCACTCTGAAATCTGCAACCTGATTGGCTTTACCCCATCCACAAATCTTGAGTAACATTCTCATTTACTTTTCTGAACAGCCTTGTAGGACTGATCCTCGTGACAGAGTGGCTACAGCAGCCCCAACAGATGTGGTGAAACCCATGAAAGCACTGGTGATGGGACAACGGAGTGTTTTTTCCCTTCAAGACACTTCTCCACAATGTCACCCAAGCCAAACAAGTCTGGATGTGTAACCAGAAACTGGAGAACACTACAGGAATGTGCCCCAGACACAGGGTCCTACAGCAGTCATCRGCAATAAAGTGGATGCAGAAAGTGCCTCTACTTGAAGTGGTAAATTGAAAGTCAAACCTTCTTTTTACGTTCATCAAAAAACAACTGCATCTCTCCTTGAAGATTCCCTCCATTTCTAGTGAAAAATGGTACAGAAACAGTTGGAAATAGTTCTGTCCCAGCCATGAAGGCATTACCTTCTGTGCCATCAGGCTCTGCCTGCTCCTCACGTGGTTTCTGCTTGAACTTCATGTTCCCATAGTGCAGGATCGCCCCCGTCAGCTTGTAAATCCCCATTCTCTCATCGGGGCTGAAGCCCAAAATGCCAATGGCCATCTGCACATGAGAATATCAGGTGGTTTTAACCGTGGTGAGAGCAAAAGTGAGACGGTCTCTCCTTGCTAACTGTACTCACGTCTGTGGCAACAAGCTCCTCCTGGTCATCGATGCTGGCCACAGAGATCTGCCCTTGGCTGATGAAGGGGTAGTCATAGGGGTTGGCTGTGACCAGGAGCATCTCTGGAAGGCAAACACAGGAGTGAGAGCCAGAGCCTCACAGGGAAGATGGAACAATGGCTCAGCAACATTTCACAGGCTCTCMTTCCTTTTACATCCCAAACTCTTGGTTTTCTAGTATGGGACAAGAAAGTGTAAAACCATTCATCTGCCTCCCACTGGGTGAGCAGCCTTTCCAGTTTGATAGGCTGTGACTCGAGAGCTGAGCACTCAGCACTGGCAGACACAAAACAAGGGCCTTCCCCAGAAGGAGCATTTAAGAAAGACACTTTTGGATAAGGCTCATATGTGCTTATCCTCACGGCACAAACATGGCACAAACTAATCCGTCCTGAATGCACTTGCTCCCCCTGGGGCTGTGTGCTGGTGCATGTGAGTAATGCATACATGTGTGCTCATCTCCATCTCACTGAGGCCAAAATTCCCAAATCATTTTCAGTTCTGAACCAAATGGCAGAGTCAAATGAGAGGGGCAGGTGTGCAGGTGTGCAGTGGGGCTGTGGGCAGAGGAGGAAGCCCTCTGTACACTGAGGGTAAATGTGGCTGTCCTTGCACAGACATGCAGTCCCTGGCACTGAGGAGRGGAGAGTGAGGTGGTCAATGGTCAGAGGGCACAGAGTGGGAGGGTGGGAGCAGGAGCTCTGCCTTGGGAAATTTCTGTGGGTAGTTGGGAGGGATGGGCAGAGCAGTCCAAGGATGAGTGCAGWAGCTGTGTGTGTGGAAAAAGGGACAGATGTGGGGCATGGGTAGGGAATGCCATGGCAGTAAGAAGGGGGAAAAGGTCAGAGGGGCCACTGAAAACAGGAAATAACTTTTGCCTSTATGATGAAAAGCTCATATAAATGGTTTTTAGATCAGGGTATCTGGCCATCCTGCAATCAGAACTGCTTACCTTTTCACTGAAGATTATTCACAGGTCTGGCCCATCTAAGCTGGAATTTCCACACCATCAAGAATAGCAAGAAATGAGGCAGATTACACTGGCTACCCTTGCACCTCATCTGCACACAGTTTGTATTAGAACTTCCCCAGGAAATAAATGGAGTGAGCCCTAGTGTGACCTTGTTATGCAGAGACACCAGTGCAGCTTGGGGAACYTGGGCAGGGCTGATGCCACAACACTGAGGATGTAAATCAACACATCATCAAAGCATGCTCTGCACAGACTGAGGCWCTGCTAAAGGGCCACCTGGGGCCATGTGACACAGAGCTCTGCCCTGATGCCACTGGACCCTCTGTCACTGAGCTGGCACATCAGGGGAAATGTTTCCCACACTGACTTTACTCAACGTCACCAGGTGATGACTGTCCTTACCAAGCAGTTCAGGCTTCTTATTGGAGAGGATCTGGTAGAAGATATGGTAGCTTCTTTCAGCTTTCAGCTGGAAAGTGACTCTCGACTTTTCCAGCAAGTCTGTAACATGTATGCACATGGACATTTTTCAGATTCTTTAATTTCCAGCGAAGCTGTCAGCCCCCCTCMATTACTCACAGGTCTCAATGTCACCAGAGGCCAGTTTTCCAGATGCTCCAAAATGGATACGAATGAATTTACCCTGACAAGCAGACAAAAGGTGGTGGTCAGTGCAGCAATCTCAGAGTGTTTTTYCCTCTTCAGCCTAGTGACAGCATCACCAAATCAGTCTGCATTGGCTTTGATATACAAAGATAGATAAAGGGGAAYACTTTGCTGCAGCCCGCACAGCTGTGAGCATGAAACAGCTGCAAACACACCAGCAGCTCATAAACAGCCAAGAAACTGGTCAGCAAGAACATTTTTCCCAGCCAAGAGGCTGCAGTTGCAACTAACAAGCAGGCAAAGAGCATTAGAAACACAGGAGAGCAGAATGACAGACACGGGATGACTCACAAAGCGTGAGGAGTTGTCATTTCTCACGGTCTTGGCATTCCCRAAGGCCTCCAGCAGTGGGTTGGCACTGAGGATTTGATCCTTGAGCGTACCCTGCAGGAACAATTGAATAATTAYTGAAAAACATCATGAGCTTTGTGGTAGGAAGAAGTGACCCTATGGCACAATTACTTGTGCAGCCATGTGCCCTTCATTTCAGCTGTACAATGCTATTGCAGCACCTTCTTGACTCCAGCACCAAGGACCAGCACTGGGGGAAATCAGCAAATAACTCATTTTCCTCTTATTTAGAATTTCTCCCACAGACAGAGCTCTCAGGTCTCAGCCACAGGGACAGATTGACCCAGGCTAAGAAACTGGAGCCTCTGATTCTTCCTGGGCATCAAAGCTGCAGACCTGGTTCCAGTCCAGGTAAAGCTACACCTGGGCAGCATCAGTGGCAGGTCTGGTGGCCTGTATTTGCCCTCGGTGCTGCTGCCTTTCAAAGAGTGGCTGAAGCTAACAAAAGGTATTTTCAGGTAAGTGCTTGTCACCAGTGCTGTCCACAGACACTACAAGATAACATCCTGAACTGCTCCTCCCCAAGCCCTTCCTCTTCACACCTTCATCTGGGACTCCTTCTTGGTGGGCAGGTTGCCACTGGCTGCGATTGTCGCGTAGTACTGGATGACGCGCTTCGTGTTCACCGTCTTCCCGGCACCCGATTCTCCGCTGGCAAAACAAAGCACAGAGTGARGAATTATCTGCCCACTTTTTGTTGGAGACAAAGTCCAAAGTGGCAGATGCACTTACGTGATCAGGATAGACTGGTTTTCACGATCTGTCAAAGGGAAAATACCTGCAGTCAGAGGAGCTGTAGGGAAAGTGCTGGTTCTCAGGTAACTGTGACCTGGTGTCCATCAGAGGGAACAAAGCAAAATCTCTGCAGGCAAAACTGAAAAGGTGCACGGTCTACTGTCCTCCTCTCTTTCCCTCCCTATACTCCACTTTTTGTCTTCTCTCCTCCTTTGCTTCATTCTGCACTTATTTTTGCCTCTGTCTTTACCATTCTTTATCTTTATTATTATTTWATATAAGACAGGACTTTATTCAAATTAAAACCATGTATTTTGGTGACATTATTTCTACCAGCTCTGTTCTGGATGTACCTGCTGTTGCTTGAAGCCATGTGTAGGTGTGCTGTCTATGAACTTTCCAGATAGTGTGTCCTGTYCCAGTGCAACTGCCCTTTGCAGAAGGTCCCTGTTACAGTGCTTAGCTTAGCATGCAGAAATAATGTGCAGTACAACAGCACAGTGCTTCAAAAATAAAGAAAATACATGAGGAGATGGGGAAAACTGTCTGAAGCTGGTTTTRTATCACTTAAGGTTGATAACAAAGACGAAGCACTCTGCAAGAGATGATAAAGGGAACTGAGCCCATGGCAATATGAAATGGCCTTTGGCAGAAGCAGTGGTTCTGACACACTTTTTTACTCTTGAGCCTGGTCAAAATAGAAAAGCTCACCAGTCAGCATGAACTGATAGGCGTTGTCAGAGATGGAGAAGATGTGTGGAGGGGCYTCCTGGCGCTTCTTGCCTCGGTAGGCCAACACCACCTCCGGGTTGTACACCGGCAGCCACTTGTAGGGGTTGACAGTGACGCAGAAGAGACCCGAGTAGGTCTGCAGGAAAAAAACAGAAGTGTCACTGAAGCCCAGCTCCTGCAGCTGTATTTTCTCCTTTGCCAAAAGAGGGAACTTACATAGATCATCCAGGAGGTGTAGCGGTCCTTGAGGTTGTAGAGGACAGCAGGTTCATGCAGGTGGGTCARCATGGCCACATCCTCAACTCTATCAAACTTAGGTGGGTTCATGGCATACACATCATCAGGTTTGACAGCAATTGTCTACAATTCAGAAAGAGTGAACCCTGATTCAACAACTCTTGACAGTTCCTTCCACAAACACAGAGAAGTAATAACATCACCAAGGCTGCTCCAATTAATATTTTTCTTTCTGTTTAACTGTGCTAAACAATATATGGCTATTTCAGGGCAAACGCTGCAGCCAGACAGGAACTCTACAACACTGGCACACTGACAGGATGTAAATTTACTGGAATTGCTACAACCACACRGACATGGTTTGTGCTGGACCAGATATTTCAACACATTATCACTGCTTATGATCTTTAGGGCACTGCTGCTCATGGCTGTAAGAGCCTGGGGCACATCTGCTGGCCAGCCAACCTCACAGCCTCCAGGGTTCCCATGACAGCRCCAGAGAGCCAGGACACAAACAACACCCGACTCATCAACAGCAAACCCATTCTTGGCACAGACTTGTTCCACTCCTGCCTGTGGCCATTCCCAGTTAAAGAAAGGTTCTGTCTCTACCAAACAGCACTGTCTGYTGGGCTCACACTGTGGGGACCATCCTGTGGATATGTTGGGGGGCAGCAGATATATAGGAAAGTTGATGCTCACAGCCAGCAGCAGACTGCTGCCCAAAAACCTTGTAGCACCTACTGCCAGGATGTTGGTCACGGTGGTACTTCGAACTGCTGCAGCTATTCTTACAAAAATTTTCAGGACATGAGCTGCTAAGACATTTCAGCRTTTTTGGAAGATTAACACCTTGGGGGCTCCTCTGGGAAACTGCAGCCAGTGACACTGACACTTTCACATACAAGGTGACTTGTAAAGTATCTGTCTGYTCAGCTACCAGTAAAGGAAGGAATTTATGAGTGGATATGACAGTGTTAGCTGAGAAAGTGTTAAAACTAAGTTAAGATTAGCAAGGCTACGATCCAACCTGGTTTACAGCATTGCCTGATCTCTAAAGCCCGAAGTAGGAATAATTATCGTACGAATACCTTCATCCCACCATCCAGAACCATACTTTCCTGTGCAGGCTGTGCGGGTCCCAGTCAGAGGACAGGTGAGGGGAGAGCAGGGCAGATTTATCGCCTCAACTAGCGTAATGCTTTCTGTGCTCCTCCCCAGCAGATGCCCCAGGTCCCTCAGCAGGACTGGGAGAAGGGCCAGAAGCAATGCACTTACTCTGCCATCCTCCGTCTCAACAATTATCTTCTCATCCTGAGCAGCCTTAATCTTCCCCTTGGTGTATTCCACCTCGGGGTCAGCCACAAAGCAGTAGGTCTTGGCATCAAACGGCTGGTTCTGGGCTTCTATTCTCTCCTTCTCGGGTTTGCGCAGGTATGGTGCGGCCTCACCAAAAATCTCCATGCTAGCATCTCTGCTCATGGCTGGAGCTGAAAGACAGACCCTGCTGGGCTGGTTCCCTGTGTGGTGCTTAGGCACAGTGGAGTTGAAGGTTCACCAGCCCTCCCAGCTCACCCCTCCCATTCCATGCCTTTGAGCTCTTGGGTGTGTGCGGCGAGGTCTTGAGGGAGATGTTTGCTTTTCCTAGCTCAAAAGTACAAAAGCAGTGAAGAAGAGCTGCCACTCTTCGTGGCCCCAAGGAAAGGAGATCCATGTCCAAAGGAGGTGGAGGGCTCCCCAGCAAAGTGGGRCAAAGGGAATCCCTGAAGGATTCATGTGGTCCTTGGAAAAAGTGAAGCCCTGAAGATTGTTTTTGTTCTGGTTTTTAATTTATGACTTTCCCCACTCTCTGTTAACATGGAACCAGTCCTAGTCCACCCGAGAGCAGCCACAGTGGGCAGGAATGGACATGTGCCATGGCCTGTTGAAGGAGCTCATGCAGGGGGAAAAGAGGRACCTGGCCACAGTAAGCACAGGAGAAAAGTCAGCCTGGGCAAGCCATTACTTTTCATGCCTCAAACCCTCACCTTAACAATCAGTCAACAGAAAGCAGGAAGGAACCGGTTGACATCTCGGATCTCTGAAAGAGAAAGAGTCAAAGGTCAGACCTCAGCTAAGCTACAGTCTCTCCAAAGGCCCAGCACCTCTCACTTACTGCAAGTAACTGTGCCTATTGAGGGACAGGAAAGCTCACCAGAGACCATTCCTTCCCTGCCCAAGGAATGGCCCAGCAGGGAATCTACAGCAGAATTCCCACTGCAGTGCTACAGCCTTGCGAGGCTCCAAGCATGAGGAACAGGACCTGTGATAGRAGCCTTCTGTCCCTCTGCAGGTCAGTCACAGCATGGCCAAGGGCATGGCCAGAACAGGAGCCACCAACAAGGGCCTCCTCCCATACAGCTTTTATAGGCTCAGCTTAGTCCCCCTGRTTCATCCCTTCCCCATATTTGGAAGGAAGGGATCAACACTCCYATCTGCTCACCAATTCATGTTCGTTTTTTTGCCATATACAGTGTGTGAAGAAAGGAGGCTCTTTTTTTCCCAATTTTAGTAACTATGAGACCTATCTGTGGTTTGTACACTTTTATTTGGTGGGAATTTCCTCTACTGGGATCATGTTCTCCTGCCAGCCACAACCACAACCAGCACTTCACTCCACTCTCACCAACATATCAAACAAACRATAGCACACAAGGGCCCTGCCTCAGTGCTCCTGYACYCTGGGCAGAGCTGCACGGYGGGGAAGAAACCCAAACCAGCTCCRTATGGAGTGGAGACCAAGGCCATGGGAAGGAAAAAAAGATGAGGATTCATGTAGGATCAGTTATGGCAATTCTTGTGGCTTTTCACCACTGTGCGGATCAGGGAGGAATGGGGTGAGAGGTCATGACTGAAACACGGTGTGACAAACCATGGCAACACAGAGACTGATCAGAAAGAACAACAYCCAAATCTGGCCAGGGATGGACAGTTCATGAATATCAAACCATAAATACACCACACAAGTTCAGTTTCAAATACACCTTGGGCTGCCCATGACATTCACCCTTGCTGCCAAAAGGTTCTGCAGAAACCTCATCACACTATTCTGAACAGGTTCTTAGACGTGTGACTGCAATTCCCACATGAGAAGGATATTGGGAAAGGGACATAGTAGCCACAAAACTATCAGGCACTAGTCCCCTTTGCAAGCTTGCTAGGACAGCACAGCTTGGCTCAGTCCTGAGCACTCGTGACCCAGAGCAGCACCTTCACCTGAATCCCTGGAGCTGCAGACTTGGCTGTGCCCGGAGAAGGCAGAGCTGTGTCTTGGAGAAGCAGGCAGTGCAAGGATTTGGGAAATCCCTGCTCCAGGGCAGCTCTGGCTTTAGCAGCACAGATTGAGGACTGGCAGCAAGGCACAGCCACAGGCTCAGACACCTCTCTCCCTTCTCCAGAGCAAGCCAGTGCCACCAGCTTCTGGGACCACGCTGCCAAATCCCCCACACCAAACCAGCCTCAAGTCCCCTTCATCCTACCTGTGTGCCCTGAAAAGCATAGGAAAGCAGTGGCAATTAGCRTGAAGAAAAATAAAAATGCAGCAAAATCCCCCAGCTCTGCAGGAGAGGCTGGGGGACAGGCAGGACTTGGAGCTGAGCTCTCCCACCTCAGGGCAGCACAGCCAGGCTGCTGCTGGGGTAGGTACTGCCTTCCTGGCCCAAAAACCTGTGATCCCGGCTGCATGTTTTCAATGAAATCAAACCCTCACTGACTCCTGTAAAACTGGCAAAGTTGGCTCACAAATGCTTGAAAGGGGGGTATGAACCCCCTTAGGGTCAGGGTAGGCTTTGAATGGAGGTCTCCCAGCCCCAAAGGGGTGTTTGGTTTGTACAGAGCAGCCTTGGCAATGGCTGGCAGGGCACGAGTTGGCAGGAACAGGAGGAGCCTTCATGCACAGGCAGAGTGAGCTCCTGGTGCAGGAGAGGAAGGGTCTCCTCCATCCCGAGCCATTCTGGCTGCTCTGGTTATCTGCCACTGCTCAGTGTGACAGATGTTTTGCTCTCTGTACTGCATGGACACCCTTCAAAGGCTGCAGCTTTCCCTCAGCAGAACGAAGCCARCACAACTTGTGTGAAGCCAGAACCCCCCAAATAGCTCCTGCCACSTCCCACAGCACCACTCTGAGCTGGAGCACTCTGGGACACCAGCAGCTGCTGCTGCAGCACAGGGGATGTCACCCTGATTTTCGGACACTGTGGCTGACCCTGTTTGTGTTGGCCCAACAAGAGCTGACCCTGTGGGCTTCCAGCAGAGTCACTGTCACTGGTGTTTTGAAAAACATCTTTCATGTTGCCCTTAATTTCATTTAAGGTCACTAAAAATGGACACCACAGCCACATATCTCATGAACCATGAATTCCTAGAATCCCCCTAAGCCCGGAGGATGAGAGAAAAGYTTATTTTAGCATACATCCCTTGTGATCAGCCCTTTGAACTCAGCACAGTGGATGTACTGAGAGCAAAAAGCTGAGGCACACCAGACCAATGAGCAGTCTGAGGCTTTGTCCTGACACCAAATTGCCACAGTGATTCAGACAGGACATTTCCTGCTCCCGGGCATGCTCAAGGCAAGAAGGCTGGACCTTACACAATCACTGGGGCTGAAAAAGTCAAAAGTCTTCCAAGATCAAGTCCAACTTTTGACCAATCCCCACCTTGGCCCCTTCCAGAGCAYTGAGTGCCACATCCAGTCCTTCCTTGGACACCTCCAGGGATGGGGACTCCAACCTTCCTGGGTAGTCTATTCCAATGTATATTCACCCTTAAAGTGAAGAAATCTCTCCTGATGTCCCCTCTGCCCCTGCCCTGGCCCAGCCTGAGGCCGTTCCCTCTTCTCCTGTCCCTGTTCCCTGGAGCAGAGCCCGACCCCCCCGGCTGTCCCCTCCTGTCAGGAGTTGTGCAGAGCCACAAGGTCCCCCCGGAGCCTCCTTTGCTCCAGGCTGAGCCCCTTTCCAGCTCCCTCAGCCTCTCCTGGGGCTCCAGACCCTTCCCCAGCTCCGTTCCCTGCCCTGGACACGCTCCAGCCCCTCCATGTCCTTCTGGTCAGAACTGGACAGAGCACTTGAGGTGCCTCAGCAGTGCCCAGCACAGGGGGATGGTCACTCTCCTGGTCCTGGTGGCCACACCATGGCTGGTRCAGACCCAGAGGTCATTGGCCTTCTTGGCCACACTGCTGGCCAAGTCCCCACACCCAGCTGTTGAAGTAGAACAAAGAGAGCCCTCAGGCAGCCAGAGCCACTCTCCCAGTTTTGTTTCACTGGTTCAGGTGCCCACGTGGGAGCAGAGGGCAGGAAATCAAGTGGCACAAGCAATGGGGGCCCATGGGGAGCCCYTGCTCATCACACCAATCTGCTGAGCCCTGCTTTGAGAAAAGCCTCGCCTGTCTCAAATGCTCCAACTCAGCACCATCCAGTATATACCCACAAACTGCAGAATCACTTCATGCTCTCCCCAGCCCAGAAAGGATTAGCAGCTGAGAGTACACATTATTTACTTTCAGGTCTCCAGTTCTGATCCATTAACTACACAATCATCTCCCACAGCATTGCTGTCCTAGGCCTCCTATTGAAAAGGCCCCACTTTGCATTGTAASAGTCACTCTGAATTCTCAACATTTCCCATCATCTATCTGCTACGATAACAGCTGCTGYAAAATCTGATCAGAAGGTAGCCTGGAGCAAGGGCTGGGATACAAAACTGTGCCTGTCACATTGCAAAGCTGGGTCATCAGGAGACCCAGGGAGTGTAGATTTATCTGAACATCTAGATTTTTGGGCTTTTTTTCCTTGGTGTTAGGAATATGTGTTAGATTTTCCTGTCTCAAGCAATAAGTGTACAAACCTTTCTATGTCTGAACTTCCCTGTGCCTCAGAGACACTGAATGTCTGATACGCTGTATGAATTGGGATGACAGCTTAATGCAATTGAAAATAAGTGAGTCTCATGAGACATCTAAAACTTAAATATCTCTTTATAAATGACAGTGGGAGTTTAATGAGTWGGACGCTGGAGGTTTTTCAATCCAGCCAAGAAAGTTCCAAAATTTCAGCAAGGTGAAGAAAGATACTGTCGTTATTCCATGTGTCTGGAGTTTTTGGAGAGCAACTGCTTTAGAAAAACACTGGAATGRTTTGTCTCCTGTAAAACAAAGAGGCTGGGCCAGACTCAAAGCAGACTATGGACACCTGGGTTCCAACTTCTGAGTAGGTGGTTTCACTGGGGCTTGACATGAAGCTCCTTGTGCTGTGCAGGGGATTGTTAAGCATCTCAGAARGATAAATCACAGAATGCTAAAAAAGAGAGGATCTGCTTAGCCTGAGCTGAATGACCTTGCTAAGTACCCAAGTAGGGATACTGGACCTTCCTAAAACCAATCTGGTCTTACAGAGCACTGGAGGTTGCTCCAGTGAAGGCAAAGGTCTAATGAAATAGCTCATGCCCAGGG